CTCAGGTAATACCGCGGGTTGGAACCCATAGTTGGCCATGAAGGGAGACATCCCGGAGGAGGAGTTGACCGCCGAGTTCCTGGCAAACTCTGCCCAAGGCAGGAGATCGGCCCAATCGTCCTGATGGTCTGAAATATAACACCGAAGGAATTGTTCTAAGGCCTGATTGGAACGCTCCACAGCCCCATTGGACTGCGGGTGGTAGGCTGAAGAAAAGGAGAGACTAATGCCCAACTGGGAGCAGAAGGTGCGCCAGAATCTGGACACGAACTGACTCCCGCGGTCCGAGGCAATCACCTTAGGCAACCCATGCAGGCGAAAAAATCTCCCTGGAAAGGTTCTTGCGCTGTTGGTAATTTCCGGAGTGGAATGCAATGGCACATCTTGGAAAACCGATCGACGATCATGAGGATGACCGTATGACCCCGAGACACCGGGAGGTCTACAATAAAGTCCATACCTAGGTGTGACCAAAGACGCTCCCCATTGGGAATGGGTTGCAGAAGACCCAAAGGGAGATGCCGTGGAGACTTATTCTGGGCACAGATCGAACATGCCGCTACATAAGAGGCAATGTCGGCATGGAGGGTTGGCCACCAGAATAAGCGAGAGACGACCCAACACAGCTGGTTCTTCCCCAGATGCCCGGCAGTTTTGGCGTTATGGTAGGTACGCAACAGGCGGGTGCGCAATCCCTCGGGTACAAAACATCTACCCTCTGGCTTCCCGGGAGGAGCATCAGTTTGAGCCGCCAAAATCTGCTCCCCAAGAGGAGAGGTCAGACTGGTGCGAATGGCAGCCAGGATCTGATCTGGAGGTATAACTGAGATTGGCTCAGAGTCTTCCCTGGACAACTCAGAGTATTGCCGTGATAACGCATCAGCCCTGACATTCTTGGAACCAGGCAAATATGAAACCACATAGTTGAAGCGTGACAAGAACAGAGCCCATCTGGCCTGGCGGGGTGTCAATCTCTTGGCCTCCGAAAGATAAGTCAGGTTCTTGTGATCAGTAAGAATGAGGACCGGAACCGCGGAACCCTCGAGCAGGTGTCTCCATTCCTTGAGAGCCAGAATGATGACCAACAACTCCCGATCTCCAATCTGGTAGTTGCACTCTGCGGAGGAAAGCTTCCTGGAGTAGAACCCGCAGGGAAGTAGGGGTCCATCGGGCGACCGACGCTGAGACAGGAGAGCCCCTACTCCCGTCTCGGAAGCATCAACCTCGAGGACGAAGGGCAACCCAGGATTGGGATGCGAAAGAATCGGAGCCAAAGCAAAGGCGGCTTTCAGAGCCTCGAACGCTATGATGGCCTCGGATGGCCACTCGTGAGGGTTACTCCCCTTCTTGGTTAGGTCAGAGAGAGGCTTCGCCAATGTGGAGAAGTTCCTGATGAACTTCCGATAGTAGTTGGCAAAACCCAGAAAGCGCTGAATGGGCCGAAGACCAATGGGACGAGGCCACTGCAGAACCGCCGCAACCTTCTGAGGGTCCATGGAAAATCCCTCCGCGGAAATTATGTAGCCCAAAAAGGCAACTTGGGATCGATGGAACTCACACTTCTCGAGTTTACAAAAGAGTCCGTTCTCACGCAATCGTTGCAGCACCCGCTTGACATCCTGGACATGGGACTCCATGGAGGTAGAGTAAACCAAGATGTCATCCAGGTAAACCACTACGCACTGCTGCAACAAATCACGAAGAACATCAATTATGAATTCCTGAAAAACCGCGGGCGCGTTACACAATCCGAAGGGCATCACCAGGTATTCGTAGTGCCCGGTTCTGGTGTTAAACGCGGTCTTCCACTCATCCCCCTGTCTGATTCGTACGAGGTTGTACCCCTATAATCGATGCAGGGCCTCAATTCCAAACCTTTCTTCTCTACGAAAAAAAAAAACCTGCTCCTGCTGGAGAAGTAGACTTACGAATGTGCCCCCGGGAAAGCGCATCCACAACGTACTCCTCCATGGCCTTATTCTCCGCAACCGAGAGAGGGTACACCCTGCCACGCGGAGGAGTGGCCCCGGGTTGCAAGGATATGGCGCAGTCGTACGGACGATGCGGCGGTAAGGCACCAGCACGTACCTTATCAAACACGTCCCGGTACTCCCCATAGTCGGGGGGCAACGCAGAGTCCGAGGAGGCACACATACCTTAACCGGCCCACGGATGCACCCGGCCCCACACTGTAGAGACCATGAGAGAATCTCGGCTGTTTGCCAATTGAAGGTTAGATTGTGCCTCTGGAGCCAGGGATACCCCAAAACCACCGAATAGTGTGGGGAAGAAATCACCTGAAAACAGGCCAACTCCCTGTTAACAGCCCCAATGGCTACCTCTATCGGCAGAGAGACTCGTGGGTAACCTGCGGCGGTTGCAGGGGCCTTCCATCTATTGCTTCGAGAACCAATGGGGTAGCACGAGCCTGCAGGGGAATGGAGTGCTGTGCAGCAAACGAGCTGTCCAAGAACAACCCACCGGCCCCAGAATCTACCAACGCCTGGGCCGTCACCGAGCCCTCCGTCCAAGAAAGGACCATGGTGATCAGTGGCTTATCCTTGCGGAACGCCGGGGACGAGGAAACTCCACCCAAGATCTGTCCCCGACATGATCTCAGGTGCGAGCGTTTCCCGGACGGACCGGACAAGACTGCCGAAAGTGCCCACCGAGGCCACAGTACAGACAGCGACCCTCCCGACGCCGAGCGGCCCGCTCTCCCTCGGAGAGGCGAGCAAACCCCAGCTGCATGGGTTCCCCACCAGACAAGCTATCCCCAGGAGGCGTGGGAGGAGAGGGAGGAACGGGGTGGGACAGAAAACGCAGGTGCCAGTCGATTGGAAGGCCTCTCCCTGAGCCTGGTGTCAATCAGGATCAGGAAAGAGATGAGCTCCTCCAACACCACAGGCAGTTCCTTAGCTGCAATCTCGTCCTTCAATGTGTCAGAAAGACCATGGGAAAACGCAGCCACCAGAGCCTCATTGTTCCAACCGACCTCTGCCGCCAGGGTATGAAACTCTATGGCGTACTCGGCCACGGTCCGTGAACCCTGATGCATGGTCATGAGCAGCTTGGCCGCCGAGGCGGAACGAGCCGGTACGTCGAATACCCTACGGAAGGCATCGACAAAACTGTAAAAATCTTGAATCATCGGGTCGTTCCTCTCCCATAAGGGATTTGCCCAGGCCAAGGCCTTGTCTGAGAGTAGTGAAATTAGGAACCCCACCTTTGACCTCTCAGACAGAAAGGCGTGGGGTATTAGTTCAAAATAAATACCCACCTGGTTGAGGAATCCACGACACTGACTCGGCTCACCCCCAAAGCGCTGTGGAAGAGGGGCAGAACCAGTCATACCTCTGGGCGCCGCTGATGCAGCCGCCGAGGTGGTGGACGCAATAGGCAGAGAAGCAGCGGGAGAGACCACCGGAGTGACTACCGGCCTAATAGCACCAGGAGCAAGGTGTGCAGTGCGTGCAAGCAGTGTTTGCAACGCCTGAGCGAACTGATCCAACAGGTGATCCTGTTGATCGAGTCTGGCGACTAGCGTTGGGAGCGAAGGCGTGCCTGCACCGTCAGGGTTCATGGCACTTGTGTAATGTCCGGGCAGGGGCCGAGGAACGGACAGGCAGGCCTAACAATGTAACGCACTGGTTGACGACAACCACCACCCACAGACAGAAGTCCCTCAGGGCGCGGAGTCTAAGTCCCAGGCTGCCCTTTCACCAGGGCCCCTGATGGTGGGGATGGACTTGACGCAGCCAGGAACCAGGTCGCGCCCCCCCGAGACACCTCAGCTGCGGTAATGGCCGCCGCCAATGGCGTGTAGCTGGTGGAAGAGACAAAAGAGTAGTCAGACAGGCCGGGTCAACAACAACAGGACAAAACAGTACAGGACAGCAGACGAGAATCACAGGTCACGAGCCGGGTTCAGCAACAGAGGGTCAGATCAAAGGAGAATACAAAGAATAGTCAAGTCACAAGCCGAATCAGATACCAGGAGAGTCACGAGAGTCAGAACAGAGTAATAGCAACACCAAGACACAAGACACAAGTGCAAAGAGCATGTGCGGACCACAGGCTTATATGTCATCAGCCACACCCCTCTGGGGGATGGACCTCAGAGACCTGAAGGCATAAAAGGATTCCCACCATGCACAGCAGAAAACCAAGATGGACGCCAGCACATGGAGTAACATAACCTCAGGGAAAAGGTAGGACCTTGACAATACTTTTGGCTTTATAAATAGTTGTGATGGTCAGGTATCCACAAACGTTTGCTTATATACAGTATATATATATATATATAATTTTTATGCCTGAATTGAATGTTTTCTCCATGGCCACATTAGTGAGTCAAGAATTTAAAAAATAATACATGCTTGTATATATTTTGCTATTTTCCTCAGAGGCAAAACAACTGTGAAAGTAAAAAGATGAGGAAGGTGAGCAAGGAAGAGACCTTTCATAGTGTAGTGATTTCTGGTTGAATGAGTAGATGTGATAAAAAAACTTACTTATATTGAGAGGTTGCAAGAAGCCACATCCTATACTAGTTGGTGGAGAATATATCTGTCTCCTCGCAGCATATTGTGTCATTTGTGGTCGCTTTGTTTAGAGCTGTCTGTGGGTATTACAGTACAGTTGAGCTTCTAAGTTTAAACCAAAGATTCTCTACCACTGTTATGGAAAGAGGATTGGCATGATTGGCAGAAACTTGTGACACTGGCTTATCAAAGACTAGGTCAATTCTTCTAACAGGAACACTTGCTACTAACTCTGGTCAGGTCTGGCATCAGATGCATCTGCTTTTGTTTGGATAACTTTCGTCTCATGTCTAAAGGTAGTTTGAAGCCTAAATCCAGTCATTTTTTTGTTTCTAATACAGCAGGAAAGAATTATAATATATATATATATATATATATATATATATATATATATATATATATTGCCAAACGTATTGGGACACGGCCACAGGTGTATAAAATCAAGCACCAAGGCGCATGCAGACTTCTTCTACAAACATTTGTGAAAGAATGGGTCGCTCTCAGGAGCTCAGTGAATGCAAGTGTGGTACAGTGATAGGTTGCCACCTGTGCAATAAGTCCATCCATGACATTTTCTTGTTACTAAATATTCCGCTGTCAACTGTTAGTGGTATTATAACAATGTGAAAGCAACTGGGAACAACAGCAACTCAGCCACCAACTGGTAGGCCATGTACAATAACAGAGCAGGGTCAGCTTGCAGAAGCACACAATGCGCAGAAGTCGCCAGCTGTCTGCAGAGTCAATAGCTACAGACCTCCAAACTTCTTGTGGCCTACAGATTAACACAACAGTGTGTAGTGAGGTTCATGGAATGGGTTTCCATGGCTGAGCAGCTGCATCCAAGCCTTACATCACAAAGTGCAATGCAAAGTGTCGGATAAAGTGGTGTAAAGCATGCCGCCACTGGACACTAGAGCAGTGGAGACGTGTTCTCTAGAGTGACCAATCACGCTTCTCTGTCTGGCAATTCGATGGACATGTCTTAGTTTGCCAGGAGAATGGTACTTGCCTGACTACATTTTGCCAGGTGTAAAGTTTGGGGGATTATGGTGTGGGGTTGTTCTATAGGGGTTGGGCTTGGCCCCTTAGTTCCAGTGAAGGGGAACTCTTAAGGCATCAGCATACCAAGCCATTTTGGATAAATTCATGCTCCCAATTTTGTGGGAACAGCCTGGGGATGGCCCCTTCCTGTTCCAAGATGACTGCGCACCAGTGCACAAAGCAAGGTTCATAAAGACATGGATGAGTGGGTTTGGGGTGGAGGAACTTCACTGGCCTGCACAGAGTCCTGACCTCAACCCGATAGAACACCTTTAGGATGAATTAGAGCGGAGACTGCGAGCCAGGCCTTCTCGTCCGACATCAGTGCCTGACCTCACAAATGTGCTTCTGGAAGAATGGTCAAACATTTCCATAGACACACTCCTAACCTTGTGGACAGCCTTCCTAGAAGAGTTAAAGCTGTTATAGGTTGGATGCCATTAAAGTTCATGTGCGTGGAAAGGCAGGTGTCCCAATAATTTTGGCAATATAGCATATTTAGTATATATATACGGAAAATGTCCAAGAAGTGACCAACATGTGCATAATCAAATTCAAAACTCAAAAGTGAAATGGCTTTACACATTCACCCAGTCATGAGCTGGTGGATCTAATAAATCATTTTTCCAGCAGACCCTGTTTTTAAAATGATTTTTTATGTATTATAACATTTTTAATTAATTTACTTTTTTTAAAACAAATATTACATTTATAGGTCCCACCATTCCTCTTCTGAACCAGATCCTCCAGTGCCCCGCAGCAGCTGCATGTACATAACCCAGAACTGGCCCCTCTGTTCTTGATCAGCAATGGCAGCAGTGGACCCGCTGGGGTTTATTTACTAAAGCTGGAGAGTGGCAAAGAAACCAATCAGCTTCCAGGTTTTATTGCCAATGCTTAATTGAACAAGCTACATTTTTCTTCTTCCTCAATTAGGAAATATGCCTTTACTGTGGCTGCTGACATGAAACATACCATTTCATCATTTGGACCAAAAACCAGGAAGGAGAAATGAAAATAAACCAGGAAGCAGAAACACACAACGACAAATGATGTCACAGAATATATTTTCTCTATTGGCTAATACAAAAAATGCCAGAGCTCCAAACGCTTGAAAACGTTGTAAGAAAATGTGCAAAAACCTTCATACATACATACATGCAACAGTATGAGGGAAAAAAACAATTTACAGATGTGAATGCAGCCTTAGAGAGCTAGAAAGGTCACATTAGTATAGTGTCCCCAAAAACACAGAGTCCCCGGCACCTGTCAGCACCTGCGTTTAGCCCATATGCTTACCCCCCTCCTCCCCTAGCAAGTGCAGTGTCAGTAGGTCACTATCACTTGATACATTGCACACAAAACTGCAGTGTTTGCAGAATCAGGACTGATCTCTGTTAGCACTTGCCAGAACATTTTTTTGTAGCGGTTCAAGCAGTTCCTGACAGCAGAGTGCTTTTTCTCCCATGAGGTACCTATAAATTTATTGGCCAAAATGTCAATGGAAAGGTACTCTAGTGAAGAGGCCTACAGGATACTGAGCATGTCAGGTGAGAGCAAGGGGAAGACTCGCTGACACAATCAGCCTCAGAATACGAACTTGTAGACAGCAGCGGCACCCTGATAGATAGCTCAGACAATGGAGAAGAGGTCTCTGCTAAGGTCAGGCGTACCCGACCCCATTCCCAGGTTGCTGAGATGTTCCAAACGCATGATGACTCTCATATGCAGCAGAGTACCAGTACTAGTGCCGTTCTACCTTTTGGTAAACTGGTGAGCACCAGCAGCCTAGTACATCCTGGTCTTTCACATACCAGCACTGCAGTATCACTTGGGAGTATAATACGTTTTATGCATTTCAATGACAACACACTCTGTCGTCCTCAGAGTGACCCTGAATTTGATTGGCTCCACAAAAGTTGGCCCCTCATAAATCACCTTAACCAAAAATTTGCAGATGTCTATATGCCCCAACAAAACATCTGCATTGATGAGTTCCTCATTAGTTTTTCTGGCCGCCTTGCATTCAAACAATTTCTCCCCAGCAAGCGTGCCAGATATGGGGTCAACATGTATAAGACCTGTGAGAGGGCAATAGGTTATATGTATAAGTTTCGGATTTATGAGGGAAAAGATAGTCACGTAGATCCCCCCAGATGCCCAAACTACATGGGGAGCACTATCAAGATAGTTTGGGACTTGGTGTCATCCTTTTTCCATATGGGGTATCACTTATACATGGACAATTTTTATTCAAGCGTGCTACTATTTAGGCATTTGTACAATCTTGGAATTGGCGCATGTGGCACCGTGCGACCTTATCGCCAGGGCTTCCCCCAAGAGCTTGTAAATACCTGTTTTAGAAAGAGGGAAAAAGGCTGCTTGAAAAATGAGGAATTGCTCGTAGTTAAGTGAAAGGACAAATGGGATGGTTTAATCCTTTCTTCCTTTCACGCAGACGTGACCATGCAAATTGCCACAGCAGCTGGTGTTGTTGAGAAGCCCCTCTGCATCCATGGCTATAATCCTAACATGGGAGGGGTGGACTTCAATGACCAGATGATGAAGCCGTACTTAGTTTCCCAAAAAGCCAGACGCTGATACAAAAAAGTGTCTGTCTTTATTTTAATTGGCTCTATATAATGCTTTTGTGCTTTACAAAGCAACTGGATGAAGTGCATCCTTCCTAAAATTCCAGGAATAGATCATCATGGCCCTTTTGTAGCCAGAAGGTTGCTGTGCCCAAACCCCGAATACAGATGCAGTTAACCGGCTGCATGAGAGGCATTTTCTTGATGCCATTCCTGGTACCCCAACCCAAAGGACACCCCAAAAAAGATGTTGTGTATGTAGCAGACATGGAATTAGGTGTGAAACCCGCTTTTGTCCCTCCTGTCCTGGCCAACCTGGTCTCTGCCTCAAGGACTGCTTCTGTCGCTACCACATACTAGTGGAATATCAGTGTAGTGTACAGCACGGCACAGTTCAGGGCACATATTTACACAGGGTCTCAAAAGATGTTAGGTAGTCAGGAAACTGGCTAATGCATTTGGAAACGTTTACAGTTTAAAAAAAAAAATAAAATAAAATAAAATAAAAAGTAAAAATCCCCCAAAAATTTAAAAAATTAAAAACCAAAAATAGTCATAGTTTTTTTTGTTGTTGTCGTTGTTACTGTTCTACGGTTACAATTGTACTATTTTATTGTTAACCATTGCTGTTTTCTTTGCAGGAATGCCATTCAGCTGCAGCACTGACTTGTTTGAGAATATACATAAGTCAATGTGTGCAGTGCTGTTGGATGAGATTTTTCCTCTGCAGTAAAAAATAGAGCATATATGCCGAAGAATGGGGGCCTGGGGTGGCCAGTGGGTGGATGGCCCCTATGCATCGGCATATATATTTTATGATATTTTTTTGGCACATTTCATGAGAAGTGGGTGGATGCAGGGTGGTATATTCTAATGGTGGGCATACCACACACTTTTTCTGGCAGAGATTTCTTCTCTTATTTTTATTCGGCCCACAAGCTGCATAAAAAAAAGAACATAGCATATAAACCCAACAAGAACCAGTGACATACTGGCACATCACTGGACTTTGAGTGGTTATACCAGGATGATGCGTGCAGCTGGTATCGTTTTTTTCAGCCAGCAATCGGCTTTCATGTAAAAGTAATCCTAGTTGCTAATTAGCTGCAGGATTGCTTTTACAAGCAGTGGGAGAAGATACCCCCCCCTCTCCCCGCTGTCTTTCAAGGCCTTCTTGGGTGGTCCCGTGCCATCGGGGGAACCTGAGAATGCAGTGTTTCTGCCAGCTGACCATAGAGCTGATTGGAGACCAGAATGGTGCCAATCATCTCTATAGTCTAAGAAATCGGAAGTTATGACCATTTCATCACTTCAGTTTCGCAGGATATAACCAGTGCCATTTGTAAATTGAGAAAGCATCTGCTCACATCGATCTTGGTGAGATTAGATAACGTAAGGTAAGAGGAGATATCTAGAGTCTGATAGACCCCAGATTAAAAAAAAAAGAATATATGACAATGCCCATTGAAGTTATAGGGGATATTTGCATTCCCTGTGAAAGCATTCAAAGTGAATAAAAAAAATGAAAGGGACAGTGTAAAAATAATTAAAAAAATCAAATAACTTAATTTTTTTTTCAGATTTCAGGCTCCTGTATGTGGCTAGGCTCCCAAAAAGTCTCAGACATGTGGTATCCTCATACTCGGTATAAGTAGCAGAATGTAGTTTGCGGTGTAATTCCACATATACCCATGGCTTGTGTGAGCAATATATCATTTAAGTGTGAAAAAAAATTTTTGTCATTTTCCAAAAACTTGTGGAAAAAAAAAAATCTTCCATGGACTCAACATGCCTCTCAGCAGATAACTTAGGGTGTTTACTTTCCAAAAAGGGGTCATTTGGGGGTGCTTGTACTGTCCTGTTATTTTAGCACCTCAAGAAATGTGATAGGCAGTCAGAAAGTAAAAGCTGAGTAAATTCCATTATCTATACCTTAGTTTGTAGACGCTATAACTCTCACACAAAGCAGTCAATATATACATACTGGTATTTTTTTTTTTTTTACCAAAAATGTAGCAGAATACATTTTGGTCTGAATTGATGACGAAATTTGATTTTTTTGGATATTTTGTATGACAGAAATGAGAAAATACTGTTTTTTTTAAATTTGCAGTCTTTTTTTGTTTATATTGCGAAAAATAAAAAGTGCACAGGTGATCAGATACCACCAAAAGAAAGCTCTATTTGTGTGAAAAAA